GACGCACCACCGCCGCTCCGTCGCGCGCCGCCTGTCGCCCCCAATGTCACGCCTGGCGGCAACGCCGCGGCCGCGGCCGCGGCCAGCTGCGGGCTGGGCGTGGAGGTGTGGATGGTGGGGAGGACGATGGTGAAGGTGGCGCCCTTGCCCTTGCCCTCGCTGTCGGCCGACAGGGCGCCGCTGTGCATCTCGACGAGCGACCGCGAGATGGCGAGGCCCAGGCCCAGGCCGCCGAAGCGGATGGTGATCGACGAGTCGCCCTGCTCGAAGGCGTGGAAGAGGTGTGGGATGATGTTGGCCTCGATGCCGATGCCCGTGTCCTGCACCTCGACCCGCAGCATCACCTTCTTGCGCGTCACCTTCCGCCGCGGGGGCGCGATGATGTGGCTGCCCTTGCCGCCGCCGCCGCCGTTGCCGCTCGACTTCATCTTTCGCTTCAGGTCCACCGCGCTCGCGCTGTCGTCCAGCGACTTCGTGGCCGGCGTCCCAGTTCCGTCGGCATCGGCGTTCGCACTGGCCTGTTGTTGTTGTTGTTGTTGGTTCTCCTCCTCGACCTCCTCCTCGATCTCGTAGTTGCTGGTGCGGATGATGATCGAGCCGTTCTCGGGGGTGAACTTGATGGCGTTCTGAATTGGTGGCGATGGTTAATATCTTAACATATTCCAGCTGTGCGCCGCTATTAACAATTGGGGGGGGGGCAAGGAGCGTACCTTTATGATGTTCCAGAAGACCTGCTGGAGGCGGGCGGGGTCGGCGACGATGCGGTCGCCGCTGGCGCGGGGGTCGACGCCCACGTTGAGCTGCTTGTTGGCGATATCGTGCGCGACGATCTGGAGGGTGCGACCGAGCAGCTCGTGCGCGCTGAGCTCCTGCGAGTGCAGCTGCAGCTTGCCGCGGGCGATCTTGGTCAGATCGAGCAGGTCGTCGATGAGCTGCACCTCGAGCTCCACCGACTCGTGGATCGTCTTGATGTTCTCCGTGATCGCCGGCGGCAGATCCTCGGCTGTGTGCGCACACACGACACACACGACACGCGTCAGCTCAGTGACTGAGCGACTGATGATGGTGGTGGTCAGGGCGGCGTACTGAGGAGAGCCTCGGAGAGGAGGAGGGCGGGGGTGAGCGGGGTGCGCAGCTCGTGCGAGAGCGCGGCGAGGAAGTGGTCCTTGGCCTGGTTGGCGTTCTCGGCGTCCTGGTAGAGGCGGATGTTGTCGATGGCCAGCGCCGCCCGCCGGGCCAGCTCCTCGCACGCCGCCTTGTCCTCTTCCTACGGACCACAAACAAACAAAAAGATTGGAATTAGTGAAATTGAAATCATCGCGAAAATAAAAACAAAACAGAAACGAAACGTTTCGTACCAGGTATGCGCGGCTCTCGCCGCGGGGGTGGTGGCGGGCAAAGAGCCAGGTGCCGAAGACCTTGCCGCGGGCGGCGAGGGGGAAGGCGATGAAGGAGTCGCCCTCGGACGACAGGTCGGACTCGACGCCCACCCGGTCGCCGTTGCACAGCTCCACGACCATGTGGTACTTCTTGGGGTCGACCCGCTGCTCCCACGGCAGCTTGGTCATCTTCCACTTGTTGGCGAGCGCGGTCGGCGTGGCGATCCGCTCGATCGTCCCGCGCTCCTCCACAATGTCCAGCACGCACCAATCCGCCACCACCGAACCTGTGGTACGCGAGAAGAGCCGCGGGGCCGTCAGGGTTAAAGGCATGAAACTACACACACACATACACACACACACGACACACACAGCCACGGCGGTGAAAAGGCGGTACCGGCTGCGATCTTGAGGATGGAGGCGAGCAGGGACGGCAGGTGACAATCAATGCTCGACGAAAGCAGTTGGCCGATCTGCCACGCAACACGCGACAGAAAAAGAAATGTTTAGTTATATGTTTGTGAAACAAACAATCAAAAGAACGAAGCGTTAATTGATTGGAATGTAAGTTATAAATGGCGTACCTTGGCCAAGACGGAGAGTCTCTCCTCTGATTTCTTGCGTGCGGTGATGTCGAGCGTGAAGATGGAGGCGCCGCCCTCGACGGCCGGGTACATTCGGTGCTCGTACCACCGGTCCTTGGCCGGGTAGTAGAATTCGAAGCAGACGTCGATCTGCTCGCGGATGGCCCGCTCGAGGTTGTTGCGCACCACCTTGTCCTCCGTGTCGGCCATGAAGTCCCACACATCGCGGCCCAGCATGTCCTCCTTTTTGGCGCCCGCGATGAGCGCCGCGTTGTCGTTGGCGAACGCGTAGCGCAGGTCGCGGTCCAGCGACACAAACGCGTCCTGGATCGAGGAAATAATCCGCTCCAGTCGCTCCTTGGCCTCGTTCACCTAAAACAGTAAATAGTAACCAATTTAGCGTTATTATCATTTATGCAACATAAACAAAGTGTAATTCTCCACGGCAACAAATGTAAACAATTAATAATAATGTAAACGAACAAAATGAAGAAAAGATATATCAAATAATAATAACAACAATAACATGTACCTGGAAGCGAAGCTCTTGTTCGCGGCGGGCGGCTTCGGAGCGCATGCGGACCATGTCGAGGTGCGACCCAACGCGTGCGAGGAGCTCGCGGGCGGTGAAGGGTTTGATGAGGTAGTCGTCGGCACCGGCTTCGAGTCCCTCGACCTTGGATTCTTCACCTGCTCGCGCCGACAGAAGGATGACCGGTATCATGCGGGTCTCGCTCGTGGCTCTGCGTGTTGGTCGGTGCGCGTGGCGTGGTGTGGGTATAAGGTTTGTTGGTTGGCGGCCGAGGAGGTGTGCAAGTGATTGCTAGGTAAAAGTGTGGACGTGGAGGCTATGTTCCTCCTAGGTCACTTGCCCTTATTTGGTATATTTTGAAACCCTAATTTGGGTTGCCTTGTATTCTGCGCTTATTTGAGGTTGCTAGGTGATAGAGAACTAAACTGAGCTGATAGGAGGACCACTGGTGGTTGGGACGGGACAACGAAACAATGGGGTGTGGGCGTGGTGGTAGGCGGTGGGTGGAGGTACCTGAGAGCCTTGAGGAGTGTGAAGCCATCCATGAGGGGCATCATGACGTCGGTCAGCACGAGGTCGATGGGCTCCTGCTGCACCATGGCCAGCGCTTCCATGCCTGTGAGCCGACAGAGAGGAAGAGGGAAAAATGAGTGTTGGCCCTCTGTCTCACAAAACGAAAACAACCGCGGGCACAGGCCCGCGACGGTCGCCAAGTAGCCGGGCGTTGGTTGGGGGGGGGGCGAAGGAAAAAATAACAAAAAAGCAGACCATAAACGAAAATAAAGCTATGGAACGAAAGCGGTACCGTTGGAGGCTGTGGTGACGTCGTAGCGCTCGGAGAGCAGCTTGGTCACGTACTCGCGCATGTCGAAGTTGTCGTCGGCCAACAGAACTCGGAACCGCCGCTCCTGCATAAGCCACACCACCCGTGTGAGCCACGCACGCCACACGACCGCACACACGACACGACGCGGCGTACCTCGCCGCAGCCGACCTCGCGCAGCGGGGCGGACGGGCGGGGGGAGGGCGGGGTGGCGAGGGCGGTGATGCTGTCGGGTCCGGTGAAGAAGGCCGACGACACGATCTCGAGCGAGGGGAGCCACCACGACGCCGACTGGGTGTAGTTCTTGACCCGCTGGGCCTCGGTCGGCAGCGCGCTGCTACCGCCGCCGGCCTCGGCCTGCTCGCCGCGGGCGTCGTGCAGGTACTTGGCCGCCACCGACTGCGCGGCGGCCGACCGGGGCAGCTTGATCTGCGACTGCGGAAGGTGGGCGCACCCGAGCGGTATCCGGATGCGGAACGTCGAGCCTGGGGGCAGGAGGGTGGCCGTCGTGTGGTGAGAATAGGGGTAGAGGCGAGTCGAAGAAAACTGCAGCGCTGAGTTTATCGATTTCGAGGTTGAAGATGCAGATGCAGATGCAGATGGAGGAGTCTTAATCTTGATCGTGTAAGATGAGGTGTCTGGGGTGGGCGCCCCAGATATGGTGAGCATCGTCTGCGAAGGTAGTCGGAAGCTGTCCTTCTTCGTCTTCTTGAAAATGAAGGTAGTTGCAATATTCAAAATTTACAACTCATCCACTACTTCGTCCTACTTCTTCTTTGTGCGTGCCGAGACGATGGAAGAGAGAGGAAACACGAATGAATGGATGTTGTTGTTGATGTGATGGGTGTGGTGCTGTGGCCCAACCACTCTACCCGTGCTCTCTTGCGTCGTGTGCGTTAGGAACAATAATATTGAAAAAAGAAAAAAAAAGATGAGAGTGCCGTGGGTGGGTGATGGCCATCAACCCTCCTCCTGACAGCAGTCGTGGTCGGACTTTGGAATATCAAGTGAGCACTCCGCACCCCAATTCGAGCATACGACGGCCAAACAGACAGCGCCACGTGCGCGGAAGAAGTCGCAGTCTAAAAGGCCATTGGGTGGCGGGGTTTGGCCCGCAGACCGATTCCGTGGAACGCCTGGGGCGTCGCACCCAACGGGAGAAGTGCGGACCCGTGGGTTGCCCCAATCCAGGCCACCATATAAACCCAAATGTACCCAGGAGAAATCCAGGGTTGCGCGCCCATCAATCGGTCATTTGATTGATTGAGACTGAAATTTGGAATTGCGCTGTTGTGGCCCGTAGCGGCCCCCAGAAATTTGGAATTGCGCTGTTGTGGCCCGTAGCGGCCCCCAGACAGGGCGATGTCCAAGTGGTGTGTGTTGGTGGTGGTGGACAGCGAGACATCACAGACAGACGGATGGACGGACAGCCACGACCCATACGGGGGAGAACATGGGGTAAAAGGGTAAAAGGGAGAGAAAAAGACGGACAATGGCGTACCCTTGCCGAGCTGGCTTTCCACCATGGTCGTTCCGCCGTGCAAATGCACCAGCTCGTACACCAAGGCCAGTCCTGCGGTGAGTGCATGTGCGCATCGCGTGTGCGGTTGCGGTTGCAGAGCCGTGAGCTTTGGAAGCGGTGATGACAACAACTTGAAGATATAACGTGATAATGATAATAAGGAGAATGATAAGTGTGAAGAAGTAATAGAACAAAGACAATTTAAAGAGAGAGAGAGAGAGAGCCGCTTACCGATTCCGGTGCCTTCGTGGGAGCGCCCGCCCTCGGTGGTGATGCGGTGGAAGCGCTTGCCGATATGCTGCAGCTCTGACTCGGGAATGCCGATCCCAGTGTCGGTCACCCGCAACTCCGCTTCCGTATCTGCGCGTGCGGTGATGCGTGCATCGTGGCTGATTAGGCCGTGTGCCTGTGCGCGGTGTGTGCGGTGGTGCGTGTGGGTGGTACGTGTGCAGTGTCGTACCAGAGAGCTGGGCGAGGTGAACTTCAATCTGGCCATGGAGGGTGAACTTGAGCGCGTTAGACAGGAGGTTGAGTACGATCTTCTCCCACATGTCGCGGTCGACGTAGGCGTCCTGCGCGAGGGCGGGGCAGTCGACGATCAGCTTCATGCCGGCGCTCTCGATGGTCGAGCGGAAGATTGTCGAGAGCTCCTGGGTGAGCTGGCTGAGGTCGGTGGGCTCGAACACGGCGTTAGTCTTGCCCGCCTCTAGGCGCGAGAAGTCGAGCAGCGAATTGACGAGCTTGAGCAATCGCAGCGCGTTCCTGTGAATGAGGAGGAGCTGCTCCTTGTCCTGCGATGCTGGCAAAGCAATCAAATCCTGTGTGCGTGTGCGCGTTAGCATCGAGTTGTGCGTGTGTGTGTATGTGTGTACCTCGAGCGGGCCGAGCATGAGGGTGAGCGGCGTGCGGAACTCGTGCGAGATGTTGGAGAAGAAGATCGTCTTCGCCCGGTCCAACTCGGCCAGGGCCTGACGATGACGCGCCACGATTTAGGCAAATGCACATTTGAAGAGGCGTGGGCGATTGGTTCGCGGTTGGTTGAGTGGACATGTGAGACGCACCTCGACTCGCCTCCGTTCTTCCTCGCGCGCGGTGGCGTTGGCCATGGCCGACGCGACGTTGCCGGCGAAGAGCTTGAAAAATATTCTGTAGTTGTCGTCGAGCGCGTGTCGCGGGTTGACGCCGAGCACCATGATGCCGGCCAAAAGGTTCGAATTGATTTGCGAGACGATAGGCAAGATGAGGCACGACCTGACCACGCAGCACCAGCAACACCGAACTGTATGTGAGATCATGCAATCGGCGACGCACACGACACCACACACACACACACCACACACGGCAGGGAGGGGCATACGTGGGCTGGGTGTCCCAGGGACCGCACGGAGGGACCGCGTCGCCATAGGGAACGAGATCGACCTCTGATTCGATGCCCTCCTCCACCAGCAGTCGGAAGACTCTGCTCCACGTCTCCTCCGACAGCACGCTACTGTTTTCCTCGGTCGTCGTATCGCTACCACTACACGATACGACACACGCGCGAAAAACGAAGAAAAATAAAGGAAGAGCGCGAAGTGAAGAAAGAGCGAAGCAGATGCGGCTGCGGGTGGAAAGCGTACATGGACTTCTTCCTGCGGGCGAAGGCAACGGTGGTAGGCGCAAGCGCCGAGCCGGCCTCACAGCCGACCGCTTCCACCAGGTTGGCCACTGCTCCGCCCTCGGCCAGCAGGTAGAGGCTGGCGAACGGAATGTCGTGCCTGTGTTGTTGTTGTTGTTGTTGTTGTTGTTGTTGTTGTTGTTGTTGTTGTTGTTGTTGGGGGGGGGGCTCAAGCTGTCAGCGAACTGCGCGTGCGCAGGGTAAGAAGTGGAGAGCGGACGGGCGTACCCGCCGCTGGCTTGGATCGTGTTTGCGCAAATCGTGAGCGCGTCCGCAGTGGACGTGGCTCCCACGCCGCGGGTCGCCACCTCTCGCAGGATTCTGCGCATCAATGTAGGCGCACACATCGTGGGTCAGTCGGCAATCGAAAGTGGGATAAATAAACAAAAAAACAAGACAAACAACAAAAGAACCGAAAAGAAGAACTACCGCAGCTGTCTCTCGTTGATGATCTTGGCCGTTGTCTCCGATACGGCGTTGAAGACTCCCCCGATGGTGCCGTCCTCCAGGAAAATAGGGCTGTACGAGTACGTGAAGTAGCATTCCTGCATTCCTCGCAAAAACGCACACGTAAGTCGCTATTGTTTTTCCCATTAAACTATGTTATTATTATCGTTAGTGACTATTGTTATTCAAGGCGTAAGGTTACCTCGAGATAGCCGTTTCTGTTCATGTGCAGGAGCTGGTCCTCGACCCAGGTAGCGTCGCCGGTCGTTCGCACGTACTCGATCATAGGCCCGATGATGTGCCAGATCTCTGGGAAGCACTCCTGACCGGGCTTGGCTGTTCGTTGCAGCGCGGAAAGCAAAAGTGAGTGTTCTGTCCAGCCGTGCGTGCGTGCATGCGTGGTAGCCGCGCGGACGCACCAAAGAAGCGAGGGTGTTTGAGTGGGCCGATGATCTTGCTGTAGCTGTCGTTATAGAACATTATATGATCCTCGCCCCACCATAGCAGCTGTTACGAGACCGCGCGCAGAGAAGAAGCAGAAGAAGAAGAGTGTCAGTGGGTTGGTGCTGGATTGCTGGCTCCCCACAATTCATGAGGAATGATTGGTATGCTCATACCATGTTGAACCGGGAGAACAGGCAGATGCCCAGCGCGAGTTTGAGGCTCGACGGCCATTTGCTGAGCGAGCCCAGCGGTGTCTTCGCCCAGTCCGTCGTTCTGTATCAAGTAATAACATTTTCCATAAATAGAAGAAGAGGGAAAACGAAACGTAAATGAAAGAATTAAAAATGATTAAAAATAAAGAGTAAAACCAAAAATAAAACCGAAAAGGCCGAACCTGAACAGTGCGCCCATCTCGCCGCCGGATGCGGAGTACAGCTGGCTCTCGAGGCTGATGGGTTCGTGGCCCGAGGCCGTGCCGTTCGCGCGGCGCGAGAGGAACCACGGCTTGTTGCCGTCGCTGTCGCTGCTGTTCCCGTCCCCGCTCGACTTGCGCCGAAAGTCCATCTGCTGCGTTGGTTCGAGGCCGGCCTGGTGCACCAGGTAGGTCGCCGGGAGGCCGTAGCTGAGGCTGCCGCGCCGCGAGTAGAGAGCCAGCGACTCGTCATCTCCGGCGCCGCTCGGCCGCCTCGGCGACTCCTTCGCCGAAGCCTCGCCGCCGTCGCTGCCATTTTCGCCGTCGCTGGCCTTCTTCTTGAGCTGTGGTTCGTGTTGCTGCTCCAGCTGCTCCTGCTCTTGGTTCTCGGTGAAGGTCAGCGTGTTGCGCTGCTTGCTTCGCGGGGTGTTCCTTCGGTTGGAGCTCTTCTTCCGCTTCCAGCTCGACGCCAAGTCCTCCTCCTCGGGCTCGGCCTGCTTGGCCTGTGCTACATCCGATGCCAACTGTTCCGTCTGTTCGGCCGTCCCCTTTTGATCGCACACACACAACACACACCACACACACAGCACAGAGAGAGAGGAGAGAGTAAACACATGATAATAAAATATAGTATTATAATAAGGCGAACACGTGTGGGAAAGAAATCACGGAGCCGAGGTCCTTTACGAGAAGGCTCTCAACGAGGAACGCAGGATTTGAAGATGACGCAGATGGAGGACTTGAGGGGCAGGGTACCTTGTTGCGTGATCGAGAGGATGAGGGGGAGAGGAGCTCGGCATCGCTGGTGGGTTCGAGCGCCGAGATGCGCACCACCTCGCGCAGGCAGGACAAAACCGTTTGCTTGATTGTGTGTTGCTTGTGATGGAGGATGTGCGGCGACACCAGCGCGGCGGCGATGAGGTCGAACAGGTACCTCTCCTCAGCCTTGAGCTCGTGCCCGACCGGCGTCAGGGTGGCCAAGATGATCTGGCGTAGAGAAGAGATAAGATTATTTTTAGTGTAAAATAAATGGAGGCATGCATCTTTGCATCCCAGTTGTTGAATTCGAGGAGAAGAGAGGGGGGGGGTGAAAGATTAAGCATGACATTAGAAGAACGAAAAGGACAATTAAATGGGCATAGTAGAGAGGGAGAGATGGAGGTGAACCTGTAGATTTTTGGCCAATGATTCCGCTGACAGAACGGAGGACAGGAGGGCCGACGGCATCGAAGGCAGAGTCAATGCCATCCTGTATCCCCTTTCCTTCGGTCTCTATTCTATTGTTTTACTTTTTAATCTCTTTCGGTCTAGGTCGTTCGTGCTCTTGCAGTACTCACTTGCTCCACTCGATGTCGTTTTGTGATGACAGGTCTATGGATGCACGCCGTCGCTTCAGAATTGCGTGTGAATTCAGAACCTCGGTGTCCGTCAACTTACCCTTTCCGCCAGCGGGAAAACGATAGTTGTCCAATCTATCTATCCTCTCCGCTCCACGACGCGCCAGCAGCCTCCTGCTCTTCCTTGATCTAATTCTTCCAATCAGCCCCTTCGAATCGTGGATGTACCGTACCGCTTATTATCCTCTAATCTATCTCTTTCTTCTCCCCTCCCTAGTTTGAATTGTTCGAATCGATGTTGGTATCTCTACACGATGATGGATATGAGCCGAATTACGTTGATGCACGTTTGCAACAACGGCAGCGAGGCGACGCCGTTTTCTCTGCCGCTCCTTTTTCGCGCTAGACTCGCCTTGCCGACTTGCCCCGCTTGCTCCTTCACGCCCCCGCCTACAAGTGAAGGCACTTGGGTCCCTCCTTCCTCCTCCTCTTCTTCTTGAGTGCAGTGCGAACTGCGTGGCTCCGGAGAGGCTCCAGCTCCCCGCACGTGAACTCACGCAGCTCTCCGGGCCAGAGCAGCTACGCTGGACATTTCGCGTCGGAGTTGCCACCTGGTATCACGCCTGCGATCTCGAGCGACCACCGGGTGGAGAACCAACTTTTCGCAACACACGCAAACGCTGACAGCAAACGTGTAAGCAACAAGGCCTTCCCTTTTCTGCACCAGCCCCGCACAGGCTCAGGCCAGAGGCACCACAAAGAACAAAAAACAGGTGGAGGGAGGCACTGATTGGCCAGTAATTAATAATTAATAAAACAAAAACTTCCGTTTTCCTGCTCGGTGACCAAAGAGAAGGATTGACAAACAGCAGGCAATAGATAAGATATAAGATGGTGTCGTGCGGCAAGTGCAACGGCGCCAATGCCGAGTCGGCCAAATTCTGCGTGCACTGCGGAGCCAAGATAGAGCTGCCCCCGCCGTCGGCCGGGGCGAGCTTCAAGCGCGAGTACGACGAGGAAAGGCAGAAGAACGCGGCCCTCCAGACGCGCCTCTCCCAAATCGAAGCCGAGTTGCGCACTGAAAAGGCCAAGACCGCCCGCCTCGAAGGCGACATGGCCCAACTTCGCAACGTCTCCTCGGCCGCCGCTTCATCTCCTCGTTCGCCCCCCATCTTCTCTTTTCACCGAATCATTAATTAATTTTGTTCTAAATATTTTCAATAATTCTCATTTATTGTTTTTCATTAAAATCCATCAATTTCATTCTTATTTTTCATTTTTTTTATTGGGCGGACGCAGGACCGGACGGGCGCGTGAAGGAACTGGAGACCGCGTTGGTCGCGGCGGAGAGGCGCGCCGCGGAGGCCGAGCACAAGGCCGCGTCAGCTACGCAGCAGGCGACGGCCCAGCGCGAGCTTGAAACGAAGCTGTCCGCCGCAGAGCGACGAGCGACCGACGCCGAGAGGCGCGCCGCGGAGGCCGAACGCAAGGCCTCAACCGCCGCTGCCGCCGCGCCTGCATCATCGCAGTCGTCGGCCTCTACCGCTGCCGTGCGCGATCTCGAAGCCAAGCTGGCCGCCGCGGAGAAGCGTGCCGCCGACGCCGAACGTCGCGCGTCCGAGGCCGAGCTCAAGGCCGCCAGCGCCGCCAGCGCCCCTGCCCCAGGTACTCCCTCTCCACCAGTCGCTTTCGTGTCAACGGTGAGCGAGGCGAGCTAACCAGATCTCTGTGTCGTGCGTGTGCGACAGTGGCTTCGTCGGGCGGTCCGCCCCCGCCGCCGTCGTTCGGAGTGATCAGCAGCGGTGGTCCGCCGCCTCCTCCGTCGTTCGGCGTCATCAGCAGCGGCGGACCGCCTCCGCCTCCGCCCGCTGCGGGACCCCCGCCGCCGCCGCCCATGGTGGTGGCCACCCCGCCGCCAGCGGCCGGACGCGGCGCTCTGCTGAGCTCCATCAACGGCTTCAACAAGGGCGGGCTCAAGAAGGCCAAAACTGTCGACAAGAGCGCACCGATCGTCAGCAAGGACTCTGGCGGCGGCGGCGGCGGCGGCGGTGGCGGACGAGGAGGCTCGGGTGCCTCAAGCGGTGGTGGTACGCTTCGCTTTCGCTTTTTTTTTGTTATTTTTTTTTTCCATTTTGTTGCCGCTTTCGCTTTTTGGTTCTCGTCGTTCTTCGTTCTTTGTTTGGTCGAAGAAGGCTGACTTTAGCTCTGTCCATCCCCCAAGGCGGCAACAACCTGGCGGCGATGGCGATGGCGATGCGGGGCAAGCTCAAGAGCAACGCGGGACCGGGTCCGGCGCTCCCTGCTCCGGGGCCTGGCCCCTCTCCTCGCGCGGGTGCCCCGGCGACCGGCGCTGCCTCGCCCCGCTTTGGCGCACCCACCACCGGCGTGGCCGGCAGACCCGGGTCCTCCTCTCCCGGCCGCCGCTTCTAGTTTCCCCGCTGGCGCGTGTTCTATCTATCGTGGATGCAAATTACACCACTATGTACAACATGTCTTGAATCTCTTTCGTTTGGCGACGCTTGGCCAAAACTATGGCGTGGTGCCTGCAACACTACAGAAATGTCTGAGGGGCGACTTCTACAATAGTGATTCTTGGCACAAACCACCCTTTGTCACCAACCCCCGCCAAGAAGAAGAAGCACAGCTCCCGCCGGATGTGATCACGACCGCATTTTTTTGGTTGTCTGTCTTCTCCCTGTCTTCTCCACGCGCACGTTCCGCCACATGTATCTCCGACCTAATATCACCCTTATCTCCGGGATGAACGGCGAGCTCATTTTTGGAATTTGAAAAATTTATTGTAATTGGAATGCCACATTCTTCACAAGCTGATGCTGCACACGAACAAGGAGAGCAATCGAGTGATTGATCGTCCGGCAGATCGAGGGTGTTGGTTACGGCCTCCATAGAATCGAGAGGCTGACAGAGTTCTCAGAACGATCACATTTGAAGATGGATGAAGATGGCGAAGGCGTAACCTTTGCATCGAGCCCCACAGCCCTGCTCCTCGCTTCGCACGGTTCCACGTCAGCCCAGCAACTCCAAGATCGCCTCAAGGTACTCGCGCCACCCAATTCGCACTTTACGGCGATTAGATTTCTGCCATCAGCATCCCTCCTTCTTTCTTCTCTTTCTCTTTCCTTTGCAATCGGGCTGCCTCCTTTCGTGACCATCATCTCATCATCGTCATCTTCGGTTGTAGGAATGGCACCAACAGATTTATTGTTTGGCTTTACTTGTTTGTTCTTTGCTGGCGCCCACTCACGTTCGCTCTCGGGCAGGCGTTGCTGACGCGGCTGGGGCACGTCGGACGGTCGGATGCGGGTGACGCCGCCGCCTCGCTTCTCCTCGACGACGCCGCTTCCGCGCTCCTCGCGGCCGCACCCTCGCTTCTGCGCCATCGCAAGCACTCGGTCCGACAGCTCGCCGGCGCGTGCTTCCACGAACTCGGCCGACTGTGCGCGCTGCCCAGGGACACCGACGACGACGTCGATGATGACAGGGCCGAGAGCAATGACGATGACCGCGCCGCCGCCGAGGGCGTGGGTCGCGAGAGCGGGGAGGGCGAGGTGTGCCATAGTCCGCTGCTGCAGAGCGCTGCGGATGGGGTCGACGACGGGGACGGCGAGATCGTGGGCGCGCGGCGCCCGATGCGGTTTCGCCGAGCCAAGGGACTGGGCAGCGACACAACCAAGCGAAAGCCGCCACCAGATACCATCAATGAACCAGCAGACGAAAGGGACAAGGAGGTATGCATGCGCGGGTGCTGTTGCATGGTGTTTCGCGTGGCGTTGTGTAGTGGGCGGCCTTGTTGACTCGTGGGCAGGTTGACGACGATGACGACGAGCGCTTGGCCAGGCAGTTCGACGATTACCCCATTTCCGCCTCACGTAGAGTTAACCCGATCACTCGTGGCGTCTGTGGTCACTGCTCCTGCTCACCTGTGCGTGTGCGTGTGCGTGTGCGTGTGCGGTGGTGCGTGCGCCGTGTGCGTAGTGGAAAGCGAGGTCCTTGAGCTGATGAAGAAAAAGGATTGGGCCAAGACTTCCCTCGGTGCCCCCAAGACATGGCCCGCACCCCTGAAGATTGGTACACGCGTCTAAATCATCGCCACGATCGTACGGGGGGGAGGCGAGCATACATAACTAACCCTCAAGTTGGCCAACCACAGCGTTCGAGTGCATGATGAGCTCTCGCTTTCCCATGAGCCTGGCCTGGGGTGACGATTTCCTGCGCTTCTACAACGACGCCTGCATCACCTTGCTCGGCGACAAACACCCCGCTCATTTGGGTACGACTGCTGGTTTACACTACCACCCACCACCACCAACTCAACATGATAACAAAGGCACACCGGCGGCCGAGGCTTGGCCGGAGATCTGGTACATTATTCAGCCGATGCTGCAGCAGGTCCTCGCCACGGGTCGACCTACATGGGTAACCAACAAGCTGCTGCCGATGAAGCGAAATGGCTTTGTCGAGGTACGCCGCAACCACTCCACGCTCTTGGCGGGTCGCGTTATTGCGAGAGACGCATGTGGCCGTGGAGCAAGCAGCTGCAGGCGCCTGGCCCACTCATGCCACGCCACAACTGTGCGTTTGTTCCCCCCCCCCATCAGGAGGTGTACCTCACGTGGTCGTTCAGCGCCATCCGCGACCACGACGGTGTGCCTCGCGGTGTAATGACCATTTCGTTTGAGACCAGCTCCGACGTGATCTCGAGCAGACAGATCCAGTACGACCACCAACACTTCCTCTGTGTGTGTGTGTGTGTGTGTGTGTGTGTGTGTGTGTGTGTGTGTGTGTGGTGTGTGTGGTGTGTGTGATTCAGCTCGTACCGCTCGACGCGGTTCAAGATGATTACCTATGGCTCATGGCTTCGCACAACGCAAAACTGTACACAGAGCACTGCAAGCGCTGGCGTCGCGTGGGCTTGAGGCCAGTACGTGCCAAGAAGTTCGCGAAACCGTGTTCGACATCTTCGCCAAAGACTGCACGTAAGCTCGCCCCCTCTCGCTCTTCTGCCCGTAAAATACAAATAAAAAGGAATAAAAAATATGAATTCTAAAAAATAATTAAAGAACTAAATAACTAAATGATGTTCCTTCTGGCTCGCAGATACGACATCCCGTTCGCCTGCCTATACCTGTTGGACGACAGCATCGGTGGAACCGCCCGCCTCGCCAACATGGTCGGCTACGCCCAGGATTCCCACATCTTCCCGACCACAGTGGTCGTCCCGCCGGTGGACAATGGCGGCAGTGACAGCAGCGATGGGAGCGACGGCGATGAGAACGAGCCGAGCGACCAGACCGACGATAGTCATTACGAGCGCGAGCCGCCCGCACCTATGGATCCTCTTCATTATCATCAGCAGCAGCGTACGCTCGAGCTAGAATTCGCCCGGCTCTTTCGAGAGGTGCTCCAGACCCGCGAGTCGCGGCAGTTGGACCTTACACCGTTTGAGGAAGTGCAGCCCTGCGGTGGATGGAACGAACGGCCACGGTACGCACGCGTACCACTCTCTATTCAATCAGAGAGCTCACTCTTTGTGTGTGTGTGTGTGTGTGTGTGCTATGTGCTGTGTGCTGTGTGTGTAGAGCGTGTGTGCTGTTGCCGCTTACCTCCAAGACGGGAACGAAGACCCCGGCGGCGGTCTTGGTTGCCGGCGTCAACCCACGCCACGCGCTTGACAACACCTACAACATCTTCTTCAACCTGGTGGCGTCCCAGGTCGGTGCGCTCATCGCCAACGCCTCCTCCAAGGAGGAGGAACACCAGTTGGTCCAGGTACGTAGGCCGCATCTCCCACTCACACTCACCCCAAGCATGACCCTCACACCTTCTTACCACCTCCCTTATTATTTATTATTCTTTTGCCGTCAGACTCTGGCGGACCTGGACCGGGCGAAGACGCTCTTCTTCTCCAACATCTCGCACGAGTTCCGCACGCCGCTCACCCTCATGCTCGGCCCGCTCGAGGTATTATTCACACGCATTCTTTTCTTTTCGTGTTGTGCCCACGACAATGTTGTTGGTTGTCGTGCCTGCAACAGCAATGCATTGATAATCGCGGCTGGGGCGGATTGACAGGATCTGCTGGCCAAAGGGGAGGTGCCGGAGAAGGAGCTCTTGCTCGAGCAGCTGTCGTTGGTGCACCGCAACTCGCTCCGGCTCCTGAAGCTGGTCAACAGCCTGCTCGACTTCTCCAAGATCGAAGCTGGGCGCATGCAGGCCTCGTTCCGACCGCTGGACCTGACCCAGCTCACCCAGGACCTCGCCTCCACCTTCCGCTCTGCGGCCGAACGGTACGCACCACGACACCCACCACGACAATACCACATACAAACAAAAAACAAAACAAAACAAAACAAAACAAAACAAAACAAAACAAAACAAAACAAAACAAACACGTTTGTGTGCCACACAGGGTTGGGCTGAAGCTGGTGATCGACTGCCAACCGCTCAACCAGTACGTTTTTGTGGACACGGAGATGTGGGAGAAGATCGTGCTCAACCTCCTGTCCAACGCGCTCAAGTTCACCATCAAGGGCCGCATCGAGGTCCGCCTCGTCCCCGTCTCAGGTGCGCCTCCCAATCATTGCGTAGCAACAAGCCAATCATTTGTTCCCATGCAACATACAAGGTCGTCTCACCGTTGCCATGCAACTACGTTTTATTTACTTTGTGGAAATTCCTTTTTCAGATACGCACGTGGAGCTGGTGGTGCAGGACACCGGCGTGGGCATTCCGTCGGAGGAGCTGGGCAACCTCGGCAAGCGATTCCACCGCATCCAGTGCACGGGCGGCCGCACTCACGAGGGCACCGGCATAGGCCTGGCCCTCGTCTACGAGCTCGTGCGCATCCACGGCGGCACTGTGACCGTGGAGAGCCAACTCGACGTCGGTACCGTTTTTGCTTCTGTGTGTCGTGTGTCGTGTCGTGTGTCGTGTCGTGTCGTGTCGTTGGTCGAGCCGTGTGTCTTGCGAACAAATTGGAATGTTCAGACGCTTTCTCTTGTGCATTCCAGGCAGCACATTCCGCGTTCGCATACCACTGGGATCCGCGCACTTACCACGGGCGCAGGTGTCGATCGCGCCCTTCTCGCCGTCGCGCGTCGGCGCCAAGAAGCGCTACTCGGCCAACCCCTCGTGGTGGCTGCCCTGCATCGAGGCTCTCTCCTCCTCCTCGTCGGCGTCGCCCACGCCCTCCTCCTCGCTCTCCTCGTCCTCTTCCTACTCCGAGAACTCCCCGCGGTTCCACCCCTCGCCGGCCCCGGCGACCTCCGCCCAACCACCATCGTCGTTGACATCGTCGACATCATCGTCAGCATTCCATTCATTCCACCCGCCGCCCACGCTGGCCTCGATGGTGCTGCCCGCCTCATCGCGCAGCCGTCGGTCGTCGATTCACTGCATTCTGGAGAACGCGGCCTCCAAGGCCTCTACGCTCTTCATGCCGCCGTCGCCCCTGGGCGCCGCCTCGCCCTCCTACGGCGACTTCGCGGCACGCGCGGTCGGCAGCCGCGCGAGCCTGGGCAGCTGCGGCAGCGGCGCGCGACGGTCGTCCTATCCGGCCAACCACCCCTACCACTTCGCCGGCGGCGGCGGCGGCGGCAGCCAGCACTCGACGCCCCGCGCGTCGCTGGCGCACAACGCACCGCCGCTCAGTAACCAGCGCCGCTCGTCGCTGCCGCAGTACTCGGTGCCGGTCAACTCGCCGTTCGTGTCCTACGGGCTCGAGCGCGTGTCGTCGGAGGTGCCGTCGGGCTACGCCAACACCCGACGCGAGTCGCTCGCGTGCCTGCCCTCGCCCAACACCTCCTCGCCCTCGCCCTCGCTCACGCCCTACTCCTCCGGCTCCTGGGAAGTCCCACTCGAGGTACGGCATGTCACCGCACACGACACGTCGCGCACACACGACACACGCAACACACGTGACACACACGACAACACACGACAAGTGCTGACATGTTCGTTTGGCTATGGATCGTGCAGGCCAGCATGCAGCAGGACAAAAAGTACAGAATTCTGCTGGCCGACGACAATTTTGACATGCGGGAGTACCTGGGGCGTCTGCTGAGCGAGAAATACGAAGTGGTGACCGTGTGCGATGGTACCGTCACACACGACACGACACGACACGACACACACACGGCACACCGCCCACCCAGGATCTTAAATCGTTCATGTGACAAATTGTGCGTAAAAGGTTTGGAGGCTCTGCATATGGTGGAGTACATGGACATCGACCTCGTGTTGACCGATGTGATGATGCCTCGTCTCGACGGTCTCGGCCTTCTCAAGGAGCTCAGGTACTCACGCACGCACCGCACACGCGCGCATTGGTGCGACATGCGAATTGAGCGGCGGATTGGTGGGTTGTGTGTGTGTGTGTGTGTGTGTGTGTGTGTGTGTGTGTGTGTGTGTGTGTGTGTGTGGTGCAGGCTGCGGGACCAGACGAAGACGATACCGGTGATCCTGCTGTCGGCGCGCACGGGCGAGGAGTCGCACTTGGAGGGGCTGGCGGCAGGGGCCGACGACTACCTCATAAAACCCTTCACTGCGCGCGAGCTCCTCGCCCGCGTGTCGGCGCACATCCACATGGCCTGCATTCGCATGGAGTCCACCCAACGAGAGCAAGAGCTGCGTCTCCAGGTACACACCGTGCACACCCCTAATAGCACACGTGTCATCACACACGCACGCACGCACGCACGCGCGGGTCTGATGTTACGGTGATCGCAGGTGGGCGAGGCGAAGGAGGGCATGGAACGCATTCTGGCGTCGATTCAAGACGCCTTCATCGCCTTCGACTCCCACTTCCGCTTCACCTTTGTCAACGACAACGCGGCGCTCCTCTGCGGCGCCGAGAAAGAAGGTTAAACCACATCCCTCTTTCTCTCTTTCTATTCTTCTTCTCTTGTCTTCTAACGAACCGCACACACCGCACACACATACCGCACACACCGCACGTACACACCGCACACACCGCACACACCGCACACCGTATAGACATGCTGGGCAAGGACGTGTGGGAGTACATGGTAGACACGAGCGACGGCATCGTGCGGCGCAACCTCGAGCGGGCGATCACCGAGTCGGTCGACACCACGTTCGAGTTCTACCACCCGTCGCGCGACTGCTGGTACGAGGAGCGGATCTACCCGGGCGCCTACGGCGGCGCGTGCGTGTTCATCCTCGACACGACGGCGCGCAAGAAGACCGAGGAGCGCCTCTCGCTGCTGGCCAAGGTCAGCTCCGTCCTCTCGGGCTTCATCGACCACCACATCCCCTCCCTCATCGCCTCCATCCTCAAGCTCGTCGAAGGTACCGTTCGTGTGTGTCGTGTGTGTCATGTGTGTCGTGTGTATCGTGTGCGTGTGCGTATGGTATGTCGTGTGCGTGTGAGCTGAGCTGATTGGGGTCGTGGGGGCGCAGATTCGGTGGTTGCGGAGTGGTGCATATTGGACGTGTTGGAGGAGGCCGGCGGGAGTCTCAAGCGGATCTTCACCCCCAAAGCCCTGCCTGACAAGTGGGAGGTCGCGCCCATCCCCGCCGACCCAACCGATCGTACTCTCTCCATCCACCTCTCCCGCCCACCGCACAATCGCACACGCGCGCACGCACACACACGATCGCACACAGCCACGCACGACCGCACACGCGTGCTAAAGCAGAGTGGGGGTCGTGTTGGGGTGCAGTGAGCGAGTTCGACTTGACGGTGGACCTCTACAACGGCGAGCGGGTGGGGGCGCGGGCGTCGCTCGCGGACTTCATCGCGGTACCGCTGGCCGCGCGCGGCCGCATGTTCGGCATTTGGCTCTTCGCCCGGTCCTCGGCCTCGCGCCGCAGCTACGTCGACGAGGAGCGCGCGGCGTGCGAGGAGCTGGCCCGGCGGGCGGCGCTGGCCATCGACAACATCCGCCTCTACCAGGACGCCGAGAACGCCAATCATGCCAAGGACCACTTCCTCGCCGCGCTCTCGCACGAGCTGCGCACCCCGCTCACCCCCGCCCTCCTCCTCTCCGAGACCCTCCAAGGTGCGACATTCCACAACATTCCGCACAACATATATAAGTATGTATCGTAGCTTTATAGTAATTAATATGTCGTGCATTTTATTTTATATCCAGCGGACGAATCGCTGCCGCAGTCGGTGATGGAGAGCATCCGCACGATCCACGAATCGGTGGAGCTCGAAGTGCAGCTCATCGACGACCTGCTCGATCTGACCAAGGTCGCCCGCGGCAAGCTGCAGCTGCACCGGCAGTACGTCGAGGCCCACGAGCTGGTCGACCGCACCCTGCGGATCGTGGACCACGAGCTCCTCAAGAAGAAGCTCCTCCTGCGCGTCCACCTCAACGCCCAGCACCACCTCCTCCACGTCGACCCCGCCCGCATGCAGCAGGTCTTCTGGAACATCATCAAGGTACCCCTTTCTCATTTCATTTCATTTCTTTTCTTCCTTTTTGCTAATATTCATTTTTTGACATGGAATGTGTGAAGAATGCGATCAAGTTCACCCCCTTGGGCGGCTCGATCACGGTGAGCACCTCCAATCTCGAGGCGCTCGACGACGGCGACGGCAACTTCACATTCCTCACCGACAGCCCGCAGCAGCACGGCGGTGGTGAAGCGTCGACCCTGTCTTCGTCGGCGTCGGCGCCCGCGTCGACGTCATCGGCCACCCCCCGGCGTGGACCCGACGTCGTGCCCAAGCTGGCCATCAGCGCCGATGGCCAGGCCCTGCTGCCCCTCAAGGTGCCGCGCAGTCTGAGCGGCAGCGCGAGCTCCAGCGCGACGAGCACCCCGCGGTCGCCCTGCGCGCGGCGCGTGCGGGCCATGCTACGAATCGAAGTGTGCGACTCGGGCATCGGCATCGAGAGCCACATCCTGCCGCACCTCTTCCACGCCTTCGAGCAGGGCGACGCCTCCATCACCGTCCGCTTCGGCGGCCTCGGTATGGGCCTCGCCATCTCTAGGTATATAACTCTATATCACAAGAATAGCAGACATATTGTGTTAACACTCGTGTCGTGTCGTGCGTGTCGTGTTGTGTGTGTCCAGTTCGCTGGTGAAGCTGCACCACGGGTCGCTGTCGGCCACCAGCGAGGGCAAGGACAAGGGCGCCTGCTTCACCATCTGCCTCCCCACCGTACTCCCTCCCCTCCCTCCTCGACCCACATCCCTCTCACCGTGAGCGCCAGCAACTCACGACACGACACGACTCGACTCGACACGACACGCGCTCGTGCAGGTGTATTCGCGTGGGTTGGAGGAGACGGAGTTCACAGCCGACGTCGGCGCCGATCTGGCGTCGCTGGTGGCCTTTTCCGCGCAACGGCTGACCGAGCGGGGCGGCGGCGACGACGAGCTCAGCTTCTCGGCCTCGTCTTCGCTGTCGACATCGCCCACGTCAGCCTCGGCGTCGCCCTCGCACTCGGGCGCGCGATCGCCCCGCTCCCCGCGTGGTACGCCGCTGTCGCTGTCGTCGTCGACAACAATGCCAAGCAGCCTGGCGGCTGCACCTGATGCCGGCGCGTCGTCATCGGCGTCGACGTCGACGTCGACGTCGGCATTGGTCGGCGCCAACCCATTGCGACAACGGCGGCCGCCGATCTCCGCTTTGCGCCCGATCAAGACAACGTCGCAGCCGGCGCTGTCGACCTCGTCGGCCGGCTTGCTATCGTCGTCGTCATCATCGACATCGTCCTCGTCCTCGTCCACCACCACGAGGCAGCTGCGCATCCTACTCGTGGAGGACAACAAGTCGACGCTCCTCATCATGTCGCGCCTCCTTCAACAGCGACTCGGCTACCACGTCACCGTCGCCTCCACCGTCGCCGAAGCGCTCGATGTACGCCGCCTCATACATGCTACCCCGCTGTCGCGTCGTGTCGTCCCTGACCTCGAGTCGTGTGTGTCGTGTCCCGCGTGTGCGTGTGCGTGTGCGTGTGCGTGTCGTGCAGGCGGCGGAGAAGAAGGAGGGCATGTTTGATCTGGTGCTGAGTGACATCGGTCTGCCCGACGGCACCGGTCTCCAGCTCATGAAGGCCCTCAAACAGCGGTGGGGCCTCAAGGTTTGCGCCTCGGCTCGTCGCCGCTGCCCCATGTTTTTTCTCCCAACTCACTTAAGTGAGTCGTGTGCGTGTGTCACCGGAGCGCAGGGCATCGCGCTGTCGGGTTACGGGATGATGGAGGACGTGCAGCGGAGCAAGGACGCCGGCTTCGAGACGCACTTGACCAAGCCCATCAACTTCGCCGTCCTCACGGCCACCATCCAGAAGGTCCTGCCCGGCGGCACGGCCCCGTAGTGCCTAGGGCCGTATGGTTCGGCGCAAATAAACTGCACAAACAGCACGGTCGAAAACGGGCTCAAACATGTTCAAAAAGAAAGGTGGCATTACGACTGTTTTGAAAAGAAAGGGACTTTGCCAGTGGTGCAATGGGGGGAAGTGTTAATCTGCCAACTGCATCATGCACATATCAGCCTTTACCCCATGTGATGCCCCCTCCTTGAGGACCAGACCCAGACACAAGACCAATGAGCAATGTGTCAGAAGGTCAGAACACAAGAGGGAAGGCTGAGAAGCTGTGGAGAGACATGACAATGTAAAAGGGAAAAAAAAGATGATGTATCTTGTAGGAGTTTGTAGTGATACAAGCATAAAGTGAGAGAAAGAAAAGGAAGCCATCAGGGCTTGAGGGAACCCCAGTATTTGGATCCAAGGGAAGCTTTCTGAGCCAGGGCTCTTGGCTTCCTGACCAATCCCTTTCTTGCTTCTCAGCCCTCCTTGCCACATCCTCCATCCTCTTTGAGGCAAATCTGAGGTACTATCTCTCCTCCTGCAGCAACATCTGGCTCCTCACCTTCCACTCCAAACGCCTGAGGCCATCTGTCTCAAATCCTGATTATGTTTGGCACAAAGGTGAGTGGTTAACCAACTGACTTGTGTGGTTTGTGTCCACTTGAAGAAGTTGAAGCAGCAAAACCAGGCATAGATACAAGTGATGTGGAGTCAAAAACAAAAACAAAAACAATCAGGCAAGATAGATGTGCAGAGTGAGACAAAACGCACTCCCACCAACCACCGCCACCAGTGGTGAATGTGTATTCACTGATACCAGGGCTTGGGCTTGTCTTCCCCCACACAACACTCCACTCACAAGAGCATTCATGCTGCTCAAACCCCTCAAGAGTAGTCACCAATTTTTTTTAGTCCTGGGGTCCCACTAATAAATACCCCAAAAAGCCAGGCCCAAGGAGCAATACACAACACAGCACCCACAACAAGAATGGAGATTATTGACCTTGATGACTTTGATGTCTTGGCCAAGAATCTCACCGCCGATGACTTCATCTGAGCCAACAAGAACTCGCTGATCCTGATCTTGGATGACGATGAATATGATGACATGATGGACTACATTGAGGACAGTGATGATGATGATGAGAATGAACCCCAGATCATTGCCGTGACAATGTCCAACAACATGGACCATGATGCCATATTCGATCATGAGCACTTGAGCATCTATGACCATGGTGTGACGGTGTGCCAGGATCTTGTCGACGCCACACATGACTGGATGACAAGGATCCTGTGTGATCAAGTGTGGCTCAAGGAACCACAGGCCTGTGGATTGCCTTGGATGATTGAATGTGAATGATCTGAGCACTTGGGATGCCTTGGTGGTCTCAACTTTGAGGTGCCTGGCACTGGCAAGACGCTCATGTTCCTTTTGCTCATCGCGCTCCAGGCACCACCGGAAGATGTTGGTGTGCCATGGATGAAATGTGCCATGCTTGTGTTGACGCTGAGCCGCGTGCTCTGCCAGGTGTGGATCAATGAGATCCAGAGCAAATTGCGCTGGTTGTGCCTTTGTGTGCTCCACTATCATGGCTCTGATCACCGATGCATGTTTGAGTGAGCTGAGAACCTTGGTGAGTGGTGGGATATTGTGCTCAGCACCTATGGGATCCTGTGATCTGAATCTTTGGCCAAGCATTGGCTGACGTCACTGCTCTTTTGTCAGTTCAACTGTGTCGTACTGGATGAGGCACATGCTGTGCTCAACAAGGACACCTGTGTGGCTGGCGTCATCGCGGATCTGCAGGCGCTGCTCTGTTGGGCGATCACGGCGTCCCCCATCCACAACACGCTCGATGATATTGTGCTGCTCCTCTGGTTCCTCCGTCTCCAACCCTACACCGCCTCTCCACATCAATGGTGTAAGGATATCATGGACATTGCCTGGTGGGATTGCGCTGGGGCGCTCCGCCGACTTCACGCCATCCTCGCGCCCATTACCATCTGGCGTGGATCGTCCCAGCTTGGATTGCCGCCCATGCAGTACAATGAGATTGTGCTGCAGCCCTCCGAATTGCAGAAGGCCTTCTGTGATGCCCTGCTTCGCTACTGCGGTGTGTGCGTGTGTGATCTGCTCAAACATGCCGAGGAGAACCGGCGCGAAACTACAGCATGTTGGTGCTCATGCTCATCAACTACATGCGCGAGGCCGTGTGCCACCCGAGCATGGTCATCAACTCGATGAAGCGATTGGCTGACATCAGGAAGAAGCGCGATGGTAATCAAGAGGTCGACGATGACGAGGAGGATCCCGAGGTGACGGCGAACGAGATCCAATGTGCCATCGATCGGCTCATGGCGCTGTCCACCGACGAGGGCCGTGAGGATGAGTGCTGCATATGCATGGAAACCGAGGCCACGCTGCTCGCCACGCCGTGTTATCACGGATGCTGCGCCGGATGCTGGGAGAAGATCGAGAGCTACGCATCCGATGGCATCGTTCGATGCCCACAGTGTCGCGCCGAGGTGTTGGGCACGGCCCCTCGCGAGGAACGCGTGCAGGTGCTACAAACCGAGCTCGAGGTGGCGCGTGCGATCCCGAACGCGGTTGACGAGAGTGCGTGGGACGAATCATGCAAGATCGACTACCTGTTGGCCGAAGTCAAACTCCATGGCGCCACCGACAAGATCATCATCGTGTCGCAGTGGGTGCGCCTGTTGCGCATCGTGGCGCGCAAGCTGGAGGAATCCGGACTCGCGGATCAGGAGGCCATCGTGCGTTTGCAGGGCGACGTGAGCGCCGAGCATCGCACCGAATCCATCCGCCGATTCCAGACCAATCCCGACGTGCGGATCTGTCTGCTGTCGCTCAACTCGTCGTCCGAGGGCATCACGCTCACGGCCGCCACGCGCATGTACATACTCGATCCGTGGTGGAATCCGGCGCGCGACTACCAGGCACTGCATCGCATGCACCGGATCGGACAAACGCGACCGGTCACCATCAACGCCATCTACGTCGCCGATACGGTCGAGGACCAGATCCGGACGATGCGCGCGGCCAAGGGCGCGATCGCGAGCGCCACCGTCGGCGATGGCGCACCACCTCAAGAGTTTGATTGGACACAGGAGGCAAAGATCATCTTCCAGCTCGATACCGACGACGTGACACATCGCAAGCGCAAGGCAACACCCAAACCGCCACCGAAGTGTGCCATGCCCGGATTCTCTTCGTCATCGTCTACACCATCGGGCTTCGACGCCGGATACGTGCGGCAAGTGCGCGAGGAGATCCAAAAGATCCGAGAGAGACGCGAGCTCTCGCGTCGACCCGCCAAGCGGTCTCGATTCTACAACCGACCAACACCGACTCCGCCAAAGCCCGTGTACACCACGAGCAACACGGAGGGGCGCTTCCTCACGGGCGACCATCCGCTTTTTTTGTGATTTCATCAGCGATGCCGAACGCCATGCCATGCTCAACGACATCATCGCCGCATCCGACAATAAATGATTATTTACATCTGGCTTCTATGGCACGCAACTCACCGAGTATGATTCGCTTGTTTCGGGCCACGAGGGCTCGGTTGGGGCCCGCTCGTTCGCGCAAGATGGCGGCCCCATCGGGATCCCGCTCGGCCACGTCATTGATATCCTTGAGCGTCGGGCCGGGCCACAGATGCCAGGCGTAGACGCCGTACGACGTACCCAATGGTGGACGTGTCGTGGGCGGCGGCAGCGCGTTGCGCGCGATGGCAATATCGATCTCTCGGCTGATCCGGCCCGTGCGCGTAGCATCCGCGGCGATGATGGTGGTGTGCTCCTGTGGATGGTGTTTGCTGTTTGAGGTAATACCCTGGGTGCGATCTATTTGGCGACGGCGCGCGTCAGCGCGGTGGCGCCGATCGTCGCGGTGAGGACGGCGATGTAGGTGGCGACCACGATGGCCACGTCCAGCATGCCGAGCCCGACGGCGGCCACGTTTTGCCGCTGGTGGTGTCCCTCGGTGGGCGTGTACACCATCGCCCACACGAGAAACACGAGCGCGCAAACCAGCAGACCCAGGAGTTCCGTGCTGCACGCCGCCAGCATCTTTTGTCGATCCCTACCCGAAAACAGCGTCCACCGCAGTAACGCGTCATGGAGAAGGAAACCGATCTGCGCCTCATGAAGACCGCGGTGCTCCCGATGCTGCTCTTCTGCCTGGTCATCGCGATCGCAACCACTATCGCCGCCTGGGCGCTGCTGCTCTGACAGACATGGATCCCGACCACCCGCTCTACGCGTCACTGCAACCCGACCTGTCGCCGCCGCCGTCGAACGCTCAGATCATGCACATCGTCAACCACCAGGCACAATGTCCGGCAGCAACGACAAGACCAACGGTGAGGGCAAGAGCAGGGGCAAGGAGCTCACCTGGGCCGCGATCATTGCCATCGTGCTCCTGGCGCTGCTCGGCGGCGGCTACCTCTACATCAAGTCGAAGCACCCCGAGATGCTCGGCGGTGGCGCCCGCGCCTAAGCAATAAACGCTCTCCGTTTTTCTCGAATCAGTGCACAGAAGGATGTCGCATCGCGTCGTTCTTGTGGTCATCACGATCCTGCTGCGCTGCGGCGTATTTGCGCTGTGCGTGTGGCTCATCTTTCACGCCTTCCGTGGCATTGCACATGCGCCCGATCCGGCACCGCTCGAGGGCATGACCAGATCACGGGCAAGCGGAATCGGACGGGCGCACAACTTGAGTTAACCCTTGAGTTGTGCGCCGTACTTGCGAGTACGGCGATCAGTACATGGGCGAGATCTACGTGCGCCAGATGCGCGGCAGGCGTCCATCGGACGCCGAACTCGGCGCGATCATGGACGAGCTGTCGGTGTGCGAGTTTGCCGGTAGCCTCAAGCCCATGATCCGCAGTGTCGGCGGGCGCAATCCGCTGATCCCTCTCCTCCCGCCGGCGAGGGACAGGGAGACGGGCCACCGCCAATACTTTTGCAGCGAACTCGCCGCACATGTGTTCAAACGGTTGGGCGTGATGCGTCCCGATCTCGACGAGCGCACCTATCATCCGAGCAGTTTTCTCGCGGATGAAGACATGGAGATCGCCGACGGTCACGAAGGGTTCTGGCATTTTGTGAGGCCACTTTATGTTTCTCAATGAAGCGGAATCGGGGAAACATCGATGAGCAAACCGTAGATGCTGACCTTGCCGGTGTATGGCCGTCGCTCTCGCCCTCATACTCCCAATCGACTTCGCAGTTCTTCCAGATCCATTTGTCAAAGATCTCCTCGCTGTCGAACGCGAGGTTGCACTTGTCGCGTTTTGGTGGCTACACTCCAGGTCACTTGCCACTGCCAGCAACCCTCTGTGTGTGACTTTTTTTTGAACTTTTTTCTTGAAAATAAATAATTGTTTGTTGGTATCTCTCTCCCAAGATGTAGTCGCCACGACGAGCTTTTGTGTTGCACAACATGGGAAAAGGAAATCGGCAAAACTCGTGCAAATTCCCATTACTGTAGCAAAACTGCGTTCCGGATAACCACTAAATTATTGATATTTACTGGTGGCCGACACCGATCGCATCAATCTTCGCCACACAACCGACACATCGGACAGCCGGTATGCAAGCATACAACGCAGGAGTGCCGCAAGTGCAGGTACAGCCTCCCTTCGCCCAACAAACTACACCTCACACCGGTTTTTTCTAGATGGCAAGAAGCCTTTCGTATTACCCCCAAGTTTTCATTTCTTTAACTTATGTGTTTGATTTTCTTTGATCAACATTACCAGCTTCTTCGTGAAGTGGCCTACGCCTGTTTGATCCTTCATCTGCCTCTCTTCTCTTATGCACTCCAGGTGGTGCTGGTTGGTCCTCCGGGCCATGGGAAGGCGGCGTTGTATGGGCTGCTCCTGGTCAACCTTGGTGTGGTTGCGCGCCACACCATCGAGAGGATTGTGCAAACTTACGGCGTGCGTTCTGCCTCAACATGCAGCTAATCACCTCAAGATCGAGCGTGCTTATCACACGACCATGACCATCCTTCATCATTGTTGTCACACCGTGAACTCATTGATGAGGCGTGGCGTGTGGTGCAGGCCAGGTATGATGCTGCCCAAAGTTATGATGATGGACACACGCTTATGACAATGTACGCATCCCTGCCGATTGCAAAGTGAAGTGCAAACTGTGGGAAAGGCAGTGGTGCTCCTTCACAGTTCATATATATGATCATCTCATGTGCACGGATAGCGGCAAGAAGGTGGAGATCGCCAGGACTGCGTTAACACTCGTGAACACACCCTCTCAGCCGTTCCTCTATCGGGAGCGGATCAAGGCAGTGGCAAATGTATGCCCCTCACACACTGGTCCGCTGTTGCATTCTTCCCGCTGTCTTTGCATTTCACATCACGCATCTCTCCAATGCAAGGCCGACGTGGCTGTTCTGGTCGTCTCAGCAGAGAGCCAAGAGTTTGCCATCTGCATGGCTGATTGCAGCTCCACGTCTCTGTTCGAAACAGCTCTGCTCATCAAGTTTGATCCTCCTCCATCTCCTCTCTCCTCCTTCCGCTGCAGCATCTGTTGAGAGCTGACATCAGGCGCGATTCACTTGCTCTCTTCAAGGGCGGTCGGGATCAAGCATGTGATCGTGGCCATGACCAAAGCAGATGCCGTGAAAACTGAGGCAGAGACAGAGGAGGCCGTGCAGGAGCTGATCATGGGTCGAACACGACAGGTTGAGGAGATGCTCCTTTTACTGCGCTTCAAAAGGCACGTCAGGGCATGCAACAAGAAGATGCGTGATGACCGCTCACAGTCGCTCCTCAACACCTTCATGATATTGGTTCCTGATGACCAGTGGTCTTGTCATGCAATTGCAGGGAGAACATCCAAACGACCATCACGAGTGCGCGGGAGAACAAGGGACTGACTGATGGCTTCTTGCCTGATTGTCCTTGTGTGGCTGATGCTCTGTGCAACATCCAGTGCGTCTCTTGCCGTGATCTCGGTTTGCATTCTCCCTCGCGATGAAGAGGAGTCTCATGACCACACTTAATGTCCTCGTACGGACACATTGGCTTGTATCGGTGTCCAGAATGGAGAAGCTTCCTCTTCAGAAGAGTGCACGACTGCAGCAAAAGATGGAGGAGCAAAGCCAGCAACGAGCACCTTTCCGTCATGCCGTCATCGAGACCCACTGGGGTACTGAGTGGTGATGATAATGTGGTCAACGATGCAGATCCTCACTCATTTGGGACTGCTTGGTTCTGGTGATGATAGGCAACGGTCTGGGTCCTGTGGGCCTATGCGGCCGGGTCGTTTCGGGAAAGTTCAACCATGAGTACGCACACATGAGCAGCTGGCCCTTCACCAGCATCAAGGAATGCTGAAGAAGCCCTTAGGCCCAATAACTGACCAAAGATGCACCAATCATCTAAACCACTCAAACAGCGACCAGCTGGTCTATTACCCAGCAATGCGCTACAGGCCCAATGAAGCAAGAGTAGGAAGAGCAGAGCATTGTTGCTTGGTGCTTTTGCCCCCTCATACCACAACCATCACGCTCTCTGCTCACCATTGAATATGGCGCCATACAGGTTCCGACTGCGGAGGTGGGTGTATGGTTGCGGGTCAGCTCACACAACATCCGCCAGAGCTACATCCGGGAGGGTAACATTATCACGCACTCTTTACATGCATGCAGTTGCCCCTCCTGAGTGTCACCTTTCTTGTCTTGCATGCAGGGTCTGTTGGAATGACTGCCGAAGAGGACGGCCAGACGATGCTGCAGCTGACAGTGTTGGAGTTCACAGCGCGGCTGCATGCAGTCAGCCCCGTCAGTGCCAAGGTTTGGGTTGTTGAGTGTTGGATGCCGTGTAGTTGTGATTAATGCATGGGCAGTAACTGATCATCTTTATTTCCACGTATCACATAGGGAGAAAAGGTGCTCTCGGTGGGGCAGACGCTGACATTGCACAGCCATGGCGCTCATGCCGTGTGCCAAGTACTCCTTCCTGCGCCTTTGTCTTTCCTTTCACCAGAGAAGGGAAATGGCGAGTCAATCAGTGCGTTGATCGGATTGCTGTTGAGGATTGTTCTCATGCGGATCTTCAGATCATGGCGATTGAGGGAATCAAGCGAGGTGGAAAGGCCCTGGAAGGACCCTTCTTCACTGTGGATAAGGGGGATGGTACGTACTTTGGCCTCTCACTTGCGCTGATGACCCCTCTTGCTTTTCCCTCATCAGCCAACGGACACCTGCTGCCTCTGCAGTTGCCGAGGTGCGCATCCGGCCGCTCAAGCCGTTTGTCATGGAGCCTTTTGAGAAGTTCCCGCCTCTGGGACGCGTGCTCCTTTACGAAGCTGGCCTGGTACCTATCCTCTTGACAGTGACATAGCATGTTTTATCACAATGCTTTATCTATCATGCACACGATCATGTTCTCATACTCGAATGTGTTGGCAGAGAGCGTTCGGGCGTGTGAAGCAGGTGGTGAAGCTGTTTAAGCCAAGCTTCGTCGATCCGACCTTCTTTGGCAGCGAGGCCATATGGCAGCAGATTGGCGAGGAGCCTCAACTGCTGTTGGGCCGCAACGAAGACAACAACAGCCTCATTCATCTCTTCATCACCCACTTCGTACGCACCTGCCACTTCCTAGTTCGGATTGCTGAACTTCATCATCATCATTAATGAGTGTGCAACCTTTCCCGATCTCAGCACCAAGAGGAAGAGAGGCTGCTGGAGAACATCACCAACGTGCTGCGCATGGTGGATCGGAGCTTTGGTCATGCGGCCGTGTTCATGCTCATGCGCGTGCGCAACAACGAGGGCCACATGGCCCTCCACCTTGCCCTTCGCGCTGGTACGCATATGCAGTGCGTTGTTTTGCTACGCGGCACATACAAACACCACAAACATTCACCCGTGCACACCTGCCTCTATCACCAGGCCTGTGCAAGGTGGCTGCAGCGCTCCTGTCGTGGGGATCACCGTTGATGCCGAGCCCGGCCGAGCAAGAGCAGCTGCGCAGGCTTTGGAAGAAACCCGTCGACACTCCCATCCGCTGCTTCATTGGCGGTAGAGCCTTATCATCCTTCTTGTCCTGTCTGCGTACACCTTTTTCTCTCCTAATCAAGATTATGATGATTGCAGGCAAGTGCGAGAAAAGCTCGCTGAGTCTTGCTCTTCTGTGCTTGCTGGTGCTCTCGCGCGATCGGTACGCCTTCTGTCATTTGATGTTGTTCAACCCATCTGACGCAAAAAGCGTGACAACTGATGCCCTTGGCGTCCTCATTGTTGTTGTTGTTGTTGCGGCAGTGAGGAGTTCACCAACCTTGATGAAATGCTGCCGCCAAGGGAGATGCCGCAGCTCTTCTTGATTGCCCTCCAGTCGTTCGCCCGCGCCCAGCCGTCGGTCGATGCCCTCTCCGCCCAGCTTGCCACCTCAACTCGTCTGTGAAGGTTTCAGTTCCTCTTCGAAGGGACACAGTTTATTGTGCCCTGTTACGGAGGCATTCAATCAGAAAAAAAGATTTTCCAAGCTGAGATCGTCACCTACGACTTTGCGAGTGGGGCTGCAGTGCTCGACTCCTACATTCATTGGCGATTTGCACCGCGTCGCGGTTATTGGCCCAGCGATTCTTGTACTCGGCATAACGACGAGCAAGCCAGATGATGGTGGTGCTATCGTGCCAACGCCACAAGACGTCCGGTTCGCAGGGGTGGCTGTTGAGATGGACGTCGGTGGCGCTCGGGAACGTGCGCGCGTGACACCAGTAGTACACAAAGTTCTTGTTGCACTGTTCTAGGCGGATGGTGTGTGTGCTTTCGAGAACACGGGACCATCGCGGAACGGATGGATGTTGCCCAGGCCGCGTAAGATTACCACAGCGTGACCCAATTTTTGCCCACGCAGCGCACACCACGCATCGTTTGTTGTTATCTCAATGGTGTCCTCCATGTGAGAGCCCTTGTCCATCCGAATTGTGTACAAGCGATAGCATCTCAAGCACAGGAAGACGCCGTCGTTTACACGGCGTTCCCATCCATCGGTCATCGTGCCAGACTTGCAGGTTTTGCGCCAGCAGCCTGTCTGCGTCTAGTTTCATCTTAGTCGGGCATGTTGTTTGCGTGAAATGGACACTTCGAGTGGTTGTTTATAGCTTGTGGTAGTCCATGTAGGCCAACCCAATAGGAAAACAAACAATGCACAAGATGATCGTGGTTCGCGTGCGCTTCTTGTCCAGCAAGTCCACGAGCGAAAACGGCAGCTCCGTTGGGGTGGTTTTTGTCACGCCGTCGTCATCGTTGGAGCATGTCATCGCCGGATTTCAGAAAAGGCTCGTTGTCGTCACCGCCGCCACCACGCCCGCGGCCAACAGGATCGCCGTTATTCCCAACACAACAATGAGCGCGATGCGATACTTCCGGTCACGATTCCGCTCAGCGTCGGGCCTCTTCTGTGTTTTCTTGGCGCTCGCCCACGCCTCGTCCTTGGCGCCGCCGAGCGCGAATCCGCCGATGCGCTCGCCCAACTGGTCAAAGATGACGAGGAACTTGCGCCGCTGCACGAAGGCCGCGCGCACGGCGTTGTGATCCTGCTTGGCGTAGATGCCGGCGAGCGGAAGCGAGATGTCGAGCTGCCGGATGGCGCCGCCCTGTCCGACGACAAAGGTGGCGAACTCGGGCCGATCGACGCCCGGCTTGTGATGGAGGGGTTGGTCGGCGAAGGTGAGCGTGGTGTCGGGCACCGCGCCGCCCTTGGAGAGCGAATCGAACAGCGCCAGTGCTGAATCGCGCACGTCTCTGGACATCTTTTCCATTTCTTGCACGCACGGTGGGACAAATGAGGACGCCTCGCAGGGACGCGTTTATTACTTTCGCATGCTCAGCCACGCGCCGACGACCAGGGCGAGCACCACCGCTGCGCCAATGGACGTCAGCTTCCAGTTGGTCTTGATCCACCCGATGATGCCGGACGACGACGATTCCTCGTCGGCGTCGCCCGTCGCTGTTTTGGCGATCTGTTGCTGTGGATCGACGGAAAGATCGGCGCGATCCGGCATCGAGGTCGACGCTGGCCTGCACCTGGCCCTCCGACGAGAAGATCGTGAGGTAGCGCATCCACTTGGCCGAGCGCCTTTGAAGGCCTTGCGCACGGCGGCCTTGTCGGTGTCCTTCTTGGATCGCTCGTCGGGCGGCGATGCGGGGTGGCCGCGCACGATCGAGCGAGGTTTGGACACGTGGTAGACGTCGAGGAAGTTGGCGGCCTGTCCCGTGGCCTCGGCCGGCTGCGCGTTGGCCAGCACGAGCACGGTGCCGGGCGGCGCGTTGCTGCGCAGCGCCTCGAAGATCCTGAGCGCCCGCGCCGATCGCTTGGCAATGAGGAGACTGCCATTGGAGAGTTCAAATATGCAGTGACCTGGGAAACATGGGAATCATGTGGATCTAAAGCAATCACAAATTGTGCCTCAAGGTTGTGGTGAGAGGGATTGCTGAGGAAGATGTGCCACTGTGTTGCATGATGTTGGCTGGGTGGGTGCTGGCGGGTATGGATGAATTAGTGGAGATGGACTGCTGCCAGCGCAAGAACAAGACCAAGGACGAACAGTGGTGTTGCAACATGTGCAAGAGCGTCTACTGCTACCATTTCTCCTGCCTCTACAAGATTGTGCACCATGGGATCAGATTGTGCTGTGCAACATGCACTTGAGCTACAACTACCTACCAGTGCTACATAACAGATGGCAATTGTGAGGACTGGGACAATCATTAAAGGTTGTACAGGTCAGCACATTTTTTATTGATTCTGGGCAAGATCCTCAACAATGGCCATGCATCTCCTCCCAAAGGATCCAACAGATCGCCATCCAGGTATTGTCAAGATGTGTTACAATCAGATCTCATAGTGGTCACCATCCTGATCCTGCACCACCAGCTTCTTGCCAATGAGCATGATGAAGTTGAATCCAATGATCTTGGTGATGGCAAAGAGGGCCACAGTGGTCATGGAGCTGTGGTACTGTGGATCCTTGTGCATGTGTGCTATCCACCACTCCAGGTAATCAACTCCTGGCCAGCTACCTCAGCATGGATCTCACAGTCACACCATTCAGCAGCACAAACAACATGTTTTTTGTTCACAGAGCATCACAAACCTGCCCCAGAATACCATACTGGCCATCAAAGACATCAACTGCAGCATCACCAGGCGCGCCACACCTACGTTTGGCCAGCTCCTCAACGTTTTGGACAGCATCAGTGGCAGCAGCAACAGTTGCATCATCATCATCACCACCAATCACATCAGCAAGCTTGATCTGGCACTTACCAACCAGGGCAGATGGACGTCACCTTCAAGGTCAGGATGCCCAACAAGGAGCAACTCCATACCGCCTACTGTGCCTACTTTTGCAACTGCCCCAAGATGCGCCCACACATGGATCTCAAGGCACACACATTCAACTTTTCTTGCATGCCAGAGGACATCCTCAACAAATCAAAGCAATTTGTGATGCTCATCTGCAAATCCAGATCACAGGCATCATGCACCACCATTGAGGGCATGCTGAATCACACACTCAATCACAAGTGCATCATTGAGGTGGTCACCAACTGTCTGTGTGAGGCCAAAGAATTCAAAGCCAAGGCCAGATCTGACCTGGAATCTACCAGGTCAGATCCCAGCAACGCCATCATAGCACTCAACAATATTCTGGCCAGCAATTAATAATCACATAAACATGAATGTCAGGTGTGATTTCATTTCACATTGTCTTTTCACACACCCACACCACCAAAACAATGTCAAACAGGGACTAGACCATGACTGATGGAGAGGTGGAAGATGAACTGATTGAAGAGGTGGAGCAGGAGGAACCTGAACAAATTGAAGAAGAAGAAGAGGAGGAGGAAGAAGAGGACACCATGACATCAACCATCAAACCCTTCATCATCATTCCCAATGGTGATCACCATCCAAGCACACCCAATCACAGGCTGGGCCAGATGATGTATTACAAGGACAAGCTATTCTTCAATGCCTACATCAAGAAGGAGTCACATCATCATTGGGTGCTGGTGACACCACACAACACTGGCGCAATCCTCAAGGCCATCAAAGATGGATTTTGTTCAGATCTGTGCAGTCATGGTGTCAAGAGCATCACCCAGGAGGTCATGTGCATGTTGCTGACCTGGGAGGCCCTCATGTTGCCTCTCAGAGCATCATTGCACTCAGCAAGGATCAGACCAAGATCCTACTCACCTTCAATCTGGAAAAGCACCAATGCAAGTGGGTCATCTCCAGTGACACTGCAGTGCAGTGCCTGTGCAAGCAGCTGTGTGATGCTCTCAGCAAGGGCTGCAAGATCTCAGCTGCTGTCACACTCCCTGTCATCATCCCAAACACTTAATAAAGCCTCTTGGGCATGAACACCAGCACACTCACATTGTCCATCATTCCCTTGGCCATGGCACATCACACAAGTTCCTTGGTGGCTGCACCAACATTGGATCAGACAATCTGCGCTGCCTTGCAATGGTCAATCATGTCCCACAGCCTGTCACTTGCAATAATGACGCTTGCATTGTCTGGCATGGCCCCCATGTCCATGGATCTGATGAATGGGATTGGTGACATGGTGTAACTGGCCAGAAGGCAAGCATGAACTTACTGTTGATCTTGTGTGTCTGATTGGCATCATTGAGGTCAGCGTTGTCGCCCAGGTTGTACACAATGCACTTGGGCAGGACCTTGCACAGCACTCACAAGGTGGCATTGCCTCTGTGTCCATCCAACACCCCAAAGCAAAGATCTGGTGGCGCCCATCAGCCATGTGCCATGTGCACACAAATGTCACATCCTCCATGTGTGGCCACTGACCCTGTTGCTGTTCAATGCCAATCTCAGCACAAATGTCACTGGTGGTGGTGGTGTGTGGGGCATTGAATGGCACATGAACATTGAAAGGTGGGGTGATTTTGGGTGTTGGGAAATTGTGGTAGATGGTGTAGGCGGCCCATGTGTGGTGCTGGATGCNCACCCACTGGTGTGTGTATCCTCCCCATGGCTTGTGCACCTTCTTGGCAGTCCAATCCTGGCTGTTGCTACCCTGCACTGTCTTACCAACAAAGGATGCATTTGTGCTCACCTCCAGTGCTTTGCAGATGGGACTGCATGGTTTCATGATTGGTGTCTGGACAGAAAATCCTGCCTGGAGGGATGCAGTGATGTGATCCTTGTTTACAACAAACACATCATCCATTGTGTATATGCACAACACACTCCATTGCTTCATTTTTGTTGTATCTGGTGGTGCAGGCCACCTCATCCCAGAAACGGTGGGTACCATTCCATGACTGGAAGAGCATCAATGTCCAGAGGACAAACTCAATGGCTTCTTCAGATTCACAAAACTCAGCCAAGTGATCAAGGGCCTCAGGCATGTGTCATTTGGCAATCGTCCACTTGAGATCCATCATTAGATCCACATACAAGACATCAGTAATGACTGCATTACAACAATCTGAAAGTGAATCAAGGCAGGTCCCCATGAGGCAATGTCAATGATCCATGATCACTGTCTCAACATGTCCCACACACCCTTTGCACATGCAATCCAAGATCAAAGACACAAGCACTGGCATGCTGTCATCCCCCATGCCGCCAGAATAATTGACTCAGACTATGGCCACCACATTTAAACACAGATTGTGGCGCACAATCTTACATCATGCATGGAGCCTCTCCACTCACATCACTACACCAAACACCAATACAAGTTCTCAGCCAGCAAACACAGCCAGTGGTTGGCCATGATCATGCCCTACACCATGTTTTACAACAGGCAGTGTTGGGGTATCAAACACAAGGATCCCAGTACCACCTACCTGTCCAATGTTGTGCCAACAGACAAGTTCATGGGGCATGCTACTTGCTATGCCATACTGGGTGATGATGACAAGACCATGGCGTTCATCACCCTATCCTACCTCATGATGCACACATTCAGCCATCCAGGATCCTTCTGCCCAACCATGTGCTAGGTCATCAACCAGCTGCCCATTGTGCTCTTCAATGATTGCCAGGACAGCAGCATGTACATCACAACCAAGTTGTTTGGCCACTCACCCAAGCAGTCAATCACGCCCTGCAGGTTCCACATGGGCATCACAACAGTGGCAATCCTGAGGCACAATGCAATAAACTAGTACATTTTCCCTAGATAGTGTCACACAAGGTACTGGCCAAGCATGTGGCTGTGCAGCTTGACACACTGGGCATGAGCATGCCATCCCTGGCAGCATCTGATCACACACTGTCAACCACCCTACACACAGCATTGAGCCACCACCCCATGCCATATCATCATTCATGTTCCTGGATGTAGTCAGTCCAATCACCACCATGCCATACACACAGGGATCTATCTCCATGTGCATAAAAAGGTAGCCAATCAGGCTAACAACAATTGGCAGCTCAGGTTTGGGCAAAGCCAGGCATGTGAGTTGTAACTCCCATCAGTAATTATAAAAGTGAAGGAGTCTCATCTGCTAACTTCACACCATGCAGCAGCACTACTTCCCCATCTTCCTTGTCCTTCTCTTCGCCATTGGCTTTGTGGCTGCCAGCTGCCCCTTCAGTGTGGTTGGGTTCCAGAAAGTGGATTGCTTGGTCCCATCCAACAGGTTTGACTCCCCTGCCTCCTTCAAGGCAAACTGAAGCCAGTTGGTGATGGTGGAGGCTGATGTGAAATGAGTGTGAAAGTATTTGCTGTCCTGCTGGTCAACATCTCTAGGTTGTGGTGTTGCCCATGTCATGACCTTGCAAGTGACAACCACCTTGGTCAAATTCGCTGGACTCCTCCTCCAATAAACTGCACTCCTCTTCCTCAGATGAGCTGGATTCCTCCTCAGAAGACTCCCTTCTTGGGCTCCTCCTTCTTTTGTTTGGGCTTCTCCTCTTCTTCATCCTCATGCTCAACTCCTCTTCAGAAGAGCTAGACTCTTCCTCCAAGCTGGAGGGTTCCTCCTTTTTGCTCTTCTTGTTGCTCTTCTCCTCCTTCTTCTCCTCCTCTTCCTCATCCAAATTAACCATAATTCAGAGAATTTGTACAGTCAGCAAAATTTGCACAAATTTGAACAATTCAGGAGATTAATCATAACACACTCCCCCACCTGAGATTACATTGGGCTTGCCTCTTGTGCAAGAAATTCTGGAAACAGCAATCCCAGGTTCTGGCATCATTTGGCGCCCAACCCTGCATATGTGATGCATGGGGCACCACACAAAACGTGGATGGCTATGTTCATACATGCCAGGCAACTGCTTTTGACACAGAGCAACACTTGTGTGGAACACTTTGATGACTTTGAGGACCAAGGCTATGAGGACTTGTCTGACCATGACAATTGACCACACAAGTTGAGCAGAACTGAGCTCTCCAGACCGTGGTACCATAGGCCAAGGAATGTTGAGCCAGAGGATGAACATGACCCTGACTTGGTGAGGGTGTATGTTGTAAAGACTGTTGAGTACCTGGGCTGGATACTGAGGAGCCTTATGAGCTACCCTGTTGATCCATCCACCAAGTGCAGCTCAGCAGTGATGTCATCTGAACTGCAGCATCTGTATGTGACCATCCATCTGGTTGATGATTTGAGATCAAAGTTGATCTGCTGGATCATCTGTTGGCTAAGGATCCAGTGGACACTGTGAGTGGCCGCCATGATGAGTGCTTGTGCTAGAACCTGATTGGCCCTGATTCTGTTGGGCATGATCCTGCAGGATTGTATTGCGCTCTCCACCCTGTGGCTTGCCATTGCTCAAAGGGACAAATGTTGTCTGTTTATTTATGCTTCGACCTGGAGTCTCTTGCTGACTCCTGTGGAACTGAATCTGTTCTTGCTGTGATTGGTGGTGTCAAGATTGCTCATGATCTCAACCTTGGGTGTCATGATGCACTCCAGGATGAGCTGAGTGACACAATCGCCCAAGGCAATGATAAAGTCCTCATTGTTGTGGTTGAAAATGAGTGCTTTCACACCACCATGATAACCACCATTGATGACACTGGCGCCAATGTCAATGCCCTTCTTCCAACCAAGACCCAATCATGGTGCAATCCTCCCATAGGTGCCAATCAGCACAGCAATGGTGATCCTGAGATCCACCAACTGCCAACCTTGCGCCAGCACAACAATGTCAATGGCACTGAAGAGATCATACCCAGCATCAGTGGAGTGGGCCCGCCTAGGGGTGGTGGCACCTTCTACCAGGAGCTTGATTCTGAGTGGCTGGTTCTGCATCAGTGTTGGTGTCGTCTGTGACCACCATAAAACCCTAACCAAAAAAGGGCACCGGTTGCCCATTGTTTTAGTGCCATGGACAAGTTCATACACACGCCACTCGTGAAGCGCACCTGTGCCAAGTGTTCATGGAAGTGCTCATGCAACAATTCATACGCCCTGTTCTGGAGTCAGCAGGGCGACAGCATCAATGTCCTGTGGGCAATCTCTCTCAATGATGATGATGAGTTTTGGAGCATTGAAGTGGCGCCTGCACTTCTGGCCAATCTTGAACACTGGCGATCCAAGCACAAGAAGAACAACGCGCTCAGATGGTGGTTTCCACTCCACATCAAAGACAGTGCCAAACTCAAGGAGCCCATGAAGGCCACGCGCTACAACATGAAGCCCATGTTTGTGTGATCTTTGTATGCCTAAATGAACGACATGGTCATTTCAATGAGCTCTGAGGGCAGACACTTCAATAGGACACAGATCATCCACAAATAGCACTGGCAGCGCCAATATGCACACACTGCATCCAGTATGCAATCCTGCAGCTTGCGCTTTCTTCTCTGTTGTTTGTCAATCTTGTGGCCATGCACGCTGAGCTTTGCAATAACACTTACATGTTTGCGGTATTCAGACCCTCAATCGCCGCTTGCAGTATCCACACCAGTCTGTGTAGTACATGACAACACAATCGTTGTGATGCTTGACCTTCTTCAGCTCAGCAGTGTCAAGGAATCAAACCTTGTAGCCCTTCACCGCAGCCTTCTCCATCATCTTCTTGGGGTCTGGCGCTGATGGCTTGCCTGTGCCAGCATCCAGCCTGCCCTTGACATTGGTCTTGGCCATGACCACAAACCCAACAATCACCACCACGACGAGCATGATGAACCTGATGATGAGCAACCTGTGGTTCTCAGTGGACAACATGTTTCCACCCCATGCACACAAAAAAGACTTTGCCAGCGCAACGTTTATTTTTTAGGCAGTGGAGGCTCCATTACAGGGCTGAACGTGGAACTTGGTGGCCACGCCAATGGCCAGCGGGAGGGCAACGGTGCTGGTCTGCGAGGCCTGCACCCAGATCTCATCACCAGTGATGAAGTTGCCAAGGGTCTGTGTGTAGAGGACCATGGGGATCGCCAAGTTGGCTGATGGCTGCTTGGTGTCCTGCATGATGATGTAGGTGTTGGTGCTGCGCTTGAGAATGATCTGGATGGAGCGCTGGCCAGCGTTGTTGGCGCCCAACGCAGCAAAGGTGACAGCAGCGCCAACTTCATACTGCGAGGCAAAGGCCACCATGTACTTGCCAGTGGTCACAACAACAGGGCCAGCAGCGAGGTTCAGGCTGCCAGTCAAGGACCAGGCCAGGATGGGCGCATAGGTGCCATCACCAGGGATGTTCTGGGCAGAGCCAAGCCACACCAACAAGAAAGCCTGGTTGACATCAATGGGTCCTGTGGGCTGGGATTCAAGTGGGACGACGGGGGCCATGAGTGAGACGAAGCTGCCGCCACAGCTGCCACATCTGTAGGCGCGCTTGACATTGGTGATGTTCTGCTGTTCCATTATTGGTGATGGTGTGGTTGTGGGCGATGTATAAATAGATGTGACGTGAAGACGTGGGGGTATCTTTTTTCGCCCTTCCATCCTGATAGAGGAACGGGGTTGTGTTTTACTCCAACACGATGAACGTGCCCAATGCCCAATTCGCCTCTCACTTTGTGGGCGTCGCGCCATTCGGCGGTTGGGCGTGGGCAGTGCCACATCCCACATTCACGCCCATGTACAGACAGCCCACGCCGATGGCAGCACCGACCACGACGACACAACCAAATTGAAAATGCGGGGGGCTGAAGAGGGACCAATCATACGGGGGTCCAACCAAGCGCGTCCAACGAGGGCCTCAATCAAATAAGGATCATCCCGGCTGAAAACAACGGCGTGCGATTGCTGGGATGGTGTAAATGAGCAACCATCGTTGTAAATCAGCCTTGGCATCATTTTTATTGAACGACCAACAACCACCACACCAGCTCTTTCATCGCCATGCGTTGGTGCTCGGGTTCTATGTCCTGGATCACCCACGCATCATGATTGTCGTCATTGGGCATCAGTGGCACTGACCAAGGCTCACCAATCCGCTGGCCCAGTATCCACTGTCGTTGCGTTGCTTCCGTCTCATCCTTGTGTGGCCTTGCTTCATGTGTGTATGTGAATGGTTTGAATGCGTGCCATCGCACACACGACCTTTTTCCAATGCATTCAGGTAAAATGAACAAGAAGAAACACGGCATCAAGTTGGAATGCGGGATCCGCGCCCAGGCTGAAGACCCTGAGTGCAGTGGGTTCCTTCTTGTTGGATGTGAAGAGTGTGAAGAGCTGGTGGACTTGTGACATGGGTCTCATCTCATTGATCCTGATCTGGAAGTGTGGCAGCACGCACAGCATGGACACCAGCAGTTTGCACACCTTGGGCAATGCTCCCCTGGGCGTGCAGAATCTGGCCAGGATGATGTCCCTTGCTGTGGCATCTTCATTCTTCCTGTGATTGAATGGCACTTCACCAGTGATCAGCACCAACAGCAGGCACCTGAGCAACCACATGTTGGCCAACAGCCCCACTCATGAGAATCCAAAATCACACAACAGAGCATCACCCTTGGCTGAGATGAGCACATTCTTGGGCTTGATGTCCAGGTGCAACATGCCCCACCAGTGCATGTACTGCGAGATGGTGGTATAAAAATTAGGATAAAAACAGGTGGTCAATAACAGCTGCCCACTGACGTTCACAGCAGGCCTGGCTGTCTGCCTCACACCGCCAGCCACTGCCAGAGCAGCCAAACTGGGCACGCCACTGACCCAGTGGCGTTGATGTAGACCTCACTGCCTCAACTGAGCTGGTCGTTCTTGGCCTTACAGATACTGACCATGATCCTCTTGCCCATCACCTGAACGTCCTCAAGACGCAAGGCCGCCAGCTCCAACCCCCGCCGCATCGTCCTCAGCCCCAGCGCCACCAGGCAGGCGTCACGTCGTGCTGTTGGAAACCCATTGCTGAACGCCCTGCCATGCACCCACGCCTGCAGGGCCTCAACTGGGAAGGGATCCCTCCTACGCTTGACCGCTTTGGCGCTCCACGCCCGCTCCACACCGTCCTTGACGAGTTTGACCTTGGCACCGCTGCATGGACTGCTGAGGCCCTTCTGCGCATGGTAGAACGCGATGGCCACCGCTGCAACCCAAACTCCACCGCCTCAGCCTGCCAGGTCCAGCCACGCCAAGAAGCAGTGGACCATATCCTCGCCCGCCAGCAGCGCCACAAGCCCACTCCTGGTGGCAAAGGCCTTGAACTCTGACCACCAGTGCTTGTAGCAGTGCTGGGTGGACTCTGCCCAAGCTAGTCCCACCAGCTCTTCAACGCGGTGAGCAGTGGCCTCCAGTACTGACCCCTCCAGCCTTCCACCTGATGAGCTTTGAACGTCCACTCCAGTCGCCTTGCCAGCTCAAACAACTCCAACAGGCCTGGCTGAGCAAACTTGCACACCGTCCCAAGCCGCACCATCAACACCAAGGTCACTTGCAGCAGTGGCCATGACTCCTGACCGGGCCAGTGTGGCACCACGAGGATGCCCACCGCCTGGCACTTGACAAGGTGCGCGAGCACCCTGCCCATGAGTGGGATGGGTGGGACCAGCAGGTTCACCCAGCCCCTCCAGTCCTGGGCGAAGGCATCAACTGCCTGGCAGCCTGGGCTTTCAAACCATGTGTTGAACACTGCTGCCTTCTGATTGTCTGCGTCTGTGAACCAGTCAACCTGCCATTCGCCCAGCACAGACTGCAGCAGCTCCACTGTCTCGCCATGGAGTGACCAGTTGTCAGTGTCAATGAACCAGGACAGGGCATCTGCCTCCTGGTTCTCCATCACACTATGGACCCACCTTGCCATGTAGAGTGTGCAACTGCTTGTGTGCAGGGCAGACCACACATGCTTCACCATTCTTGTCATCTCAGCATCACTTCTGCCCCTGTTGCACAGGTAGGCTACAGCTGTGGTATTGTTGCTGGCCACCTCAATCCACTGATTGTGGAACTTGGGGCAGAAGGTCTTGATGGCCAGCATGACGGCCTGGAGCTACTTGTGGTGGATAGGCCACTTGGCTTCCTGGCTGACAAAGCTCCCCCTTGCCTTCTTGCCACTCTCTGGAACCCATGCGCCCCAGCTGTAGCCACTGGCATCAGTCTTGATGGTCATGACCCACAATGGCTGCCACAGAGGCGCCCTGTTGATCAGCTGCATGTTGGTGGTGATCCACTTGAGGTCCTGCTGAGCTTCTGCAGTGAGGGGCTTGTGCTGGTTCCAGTTGTGTTGTCCACAACCCATCACCTGATATGTGGACTGCAGGTAGAGTTGTAGAATGGGGGCTGCCTTTGCAATGGTGTTGATTGAACCTGCCAGCTGCACCAACTGCTGCTTGGTGTGGCACCACTGAAGGTGCTCCTGCACCATGGCCTTGATGGTGTGTAGTTTCTTGAGGCTGGCCTTGAATCTGCTGCCTGCCAGGTTGATGATCAGCCCCAGCACCTTGGCATGCTGTGTAGGCTCCCACTCCCCTTTGGTGGGCTCCCTGAGCCAGCTGAGGCACTTGAGGGTGGGCACAATCACCTGGTCCCTGATCCACTGAAGCTCCACCTTGCTTGGCGCCAGCACCATGAAGTCATCAATGTACACCATGCACATGACTCCTTGCCAACACCAGAACATGATCATGGCCTTCATGACCTTCATGAAGATCCATGGGGACCAGTGCAGGCTGAACAGCAGTACCTGGTAGTGGTACCACTGCTGGCCTACCTGAAAGCTGAGGAGTCACCTTGCATTGTCATGCTCCTCCTCAAGGTGGTAGGCCTGCTGCGTCTTGTGTACTGCCCTGGCCAACTGGATGGGCATGCCTTGGGCCACCCATGCTAGCACCTGGGCTGAGGCACTGATCTTGACCCACTTGCTGATCTGGGAGGCTAGCTGACTGATGATGGAAACCTTGTGACCTAACCTCTTGCCATGCAAGAGAAGAAAAAACTTGCTGGCTCACCAGCCAGCCTCCCCCTATAACACCACCCATTACACTGCTCACCAGTGGTGCACCAGCTCACACTTGGTGATTGCACCACTGAGTGGCCACTTCTCCTTGAGAAGCTGGTGTCACACTGGGTGAGTGCTAACCACTCATGATAAAGTATGTTTCTGTTTACACAGAAACTACACATTTTTCCACATGTGAGACAATGAGACAGCAACAGTGTGGCTGGGGTGTGGAACAAGTGGGCTGTGATCAGGAATGATCCT